AATCCATTCTCCAAAGATATTCTCAACGAAAAACATTAAGAAAACGTGCAAGGAGCCCCAAGCCTGTATGGTTGAGGACGTGGCCATGCACCAGTCCATCAGTGAAGCACTCGCACTATAACAGAGAAATAGGCAGACAGACTTGGGGCCATGCACCGATGTGAGGGCCTGTATGGTTGCACCTTGCAACATATAAAATTACCGTAGACTTCAACATATAAAAGCCCCGAGGGTAGCTCATTAGCAAACTTCCAGCGGCCTGTTCAGGAAGTGTTCATGTTTTTATTTTTCCCCAGAATACAAATAACCTAGCAGCAAGATCATTGAAAACCAAAAGAGGGAACAAAGCACCATGGCCCTCACATCGAGAGCCATGCACTTGAAAAGCTGCCATGTATTTATATAAAAAAAAATGTGAAAACCATCAAGCTCGATATGTCCCAAGACTCCCAACATATAGACAAGTTAGTGAATCAGAGTACATGTGCATATGTGTGTTTGTGTGTGCATGTGTGTGTGTGTGAGAGAGAGAGAGAGAAAGAGAGAGAGGAATGGAGAGAGAGAGAAAAGAAGCACAAACAAGCAGAGGCTTCAACAGCCACTGAAGTGGAGAGGTAGAGACGCAGAGAGGAAGAGTGGTAGAGCCGCAGAAAGGCAGAGATGGACACAGACAGACAGAGAGAGAGAGAGAGGAGAGGGGGGGGAGGAGGAGGGGGCTCGGGGGGAAGATATTAATACCTCGCCATAGTGGCAGATTGAGGCGCCAATCATCGGCACTCTCCCTTTCTTGGCGGTACAATTCCGCATTGCATTTATATGAGATAGTTTTGTTCTCCACGTGTTTTCTCTGGTTTCCAGATATTCATCCCACCACCCCAATTGTCGTTACATGCCACCCCACCCACCACCAATACAGTAATACAATCCACATCACCTTGCATGGTCAGTGCAAGAATATAGAAACTTAGAATATGCACAAGGGCCAGCTAGCGTGGTCTGCACAAGCACAAGAGCCAGGAGCATATTGAGCACACCTCAAGGAGAAAAAAAAGCATGCATAGATCAAGTGCAATCGAATCCATAATCAAAGGAAACCAAGCTAACCCTGCTAACGTCTTACCCCCAAAACAACACTCCATCATCATGAATGCATACGAGTTATCTTCCAGTCCAATACAGTCATAATGATGGTGCGTTGTGTAGGGGACAAGATGGTAGCCCCATCAACCCAACCAACCCACTAACCCAAGCCAAACCAAGACCAAACTAAAGTCCAACTGAACAGATCATAAACCCTAAAGTTCCTAAACACAAATTAACTAATAAATAGACCGAGTAAAATACCCCCAACCTAGACCAGACCACGTCCCAACCACACCCCAAGCAAACAACACTCAACCCAGCTTAACCCATCAAACCTGCCCACCAACCAACCAACCACTCAAACACTTGAGCCGTCTTCACTCCAATCTCTGTAAATCTATCAAACAAGCAAACACTCGCATTAACCAAGCTATCAACACAAAGATCATCTTCAACAACATTAATCATTGTCATCATGCCACTCACAGGCCCTCTTTCGCAAGAGCCCAAAGACTTCAATGAGCCAGCAGAGTCTCACCATCATCATCATAATCATCGTCATCATCTTCATCACAGTTGGATCATACTCGAATATTTCTACACATCTCCCCCCACCGCCTGTAGATAAGAATCCTCTTTTGTTTGTTTCATATGTACCTTCATCCTTCCCGCTGCCTCCTCTTCCTCCTCTTCCTCCTCTTCATCCCCCTACCCACGCCCCCTTGGCCCACGTACCACAGTCAGGCCCACCCTCCCTCCTCAGGGGTGTCTGAGGAGGGAGCGACAATAATTTACGTCGAACCCCTACATTTTGTTATTGGCTTAGCAACTAAACTATTGTGCCTCCCTCTTCATAGCCCCTCTCAGATTGGAACATTATCGGAAATGCCCTTCCCTTGTCACAACAGTTCCAGTGCGGCCCTTGCTATAACCCCGCATTTAAGGCCCCTCGCTAAGCGCTTCCCATATTAGTTATTAACCCACCATTTACTGCACCATTGGCTGAAATGCACTTCGCTTTTTATCCCACAACTTTAAGTTGCTAACCCCTCATAGATTGCAACATTTTGTCCTAAATACCCTTCCCTTCGCATACCCCCCCTCCCCCCCTTCCCAATATTTTCTGAAATACCCTTCCTTTTGTCAAACCCCAGACATTCATAACTTGCCCTCATCATGAATACACCCCC